CTCTATATGTGGAAAGTTTTAAAAGCTCAATGAGAGTTTAATTTGAATATTCTCAGTTAATTATAAAAGTAGTTCTAGGGACGCCTGGGGGGCTCAGCGGTTTAGCGCCTGCCTTCGGCCCAGGGAGTGATCCTGGAGACCCGGGGTCGACCTGGAGACCTGGGATCGAGTCCCACGTCAGGCTCCCTGCATGGAGCCTGCTTCTCCCTCTGCCTGTGTTTCTGCCTCTCTCTTTGTGTCTCTCATGAATAAATAAATAAAATCTTAAAAAAACAAAAAGTAGTTCCAGATTCTCCCATCTCAGCTGTGAGGTAGTCTGAATGAAGTATTTTTTGGTGGTGATGGCAAGATTTTTAAAGCATAGTAAATCTGATTCCTTGATCTTATAGTAGTCTTGGTTTTTTTTCTCGCAGAACTTATTAAAGGAAAATGTAAATTTTTTTTTAATATTTTATTTATTCATGAGGGACAGAGAGAGAGAGAGAGACAGGCAGAGAGAGAAGCAGGCTCCATGTAGGGAGCCTGATTCAGGACTCGATCCCGGGACTCCAGGATCACGCCCTGGGTTGAAGGCAGGCACCAAACTGCTGAGCCACTCAGGGATCCCTAAATAGTTTTTTTTCTTATTTAAACAGGACTCCAAAACAGAGACTGTTTATTTCTCTCACTAAAAATAAGTTTACATATTTTGAACATTATTCTATTAAGACCTATTATGCTTATTCTAGCAGTTCTTTTAGTAGCATTTCTAGTTTCTTTTGTGCTTGTGACTCACAGAAGATGGAGTTTCATCTCACCACTTACTTGACCTGTAGGGTAATGATTACTCAGTCCTGAACTTTTATTCATTTGTATTGAATTTCCTCACCTTTCACTCTACTGTTCTCTCATCGAAGAGTAAAATCAGATACAGGTACCACAGCCTTTTCAGTAATTTCAATAATAGTAATTTCTCTCTCTCTTTTTTTTTTTTTAAAGTGAAATTATAGAAAAGTTCCAGTTCTTAGAAACCACCAGAGGAACTTTATGAACAATTTTGTTGGCATGAAAGCTAAAACCTGAAAATTTACTCTGTGCCATCCAGGCTTACCAACTTTTTTTGCATGAGGAAGTGAATATTTTATAGGCCATAATAACTGAATTTGTAATTAAAGATGATTTTTAAAATAAATTTATTTAGTGGAACTTAAAAATATTTGAGATTTCTTTCCAAGATTACAGTAGATTCCTGTATCTTAGGAAATGTGCAGTTAAGAAAAGCTGTGTTTCTTTCATAAACATAATATAAAATCATTGTAATTTTATAAGGAACAAAAAACAGATCTGTGATAATAAAAGCAATTACAGTTTCCCAGATGAGACTTTCATGTGTGCAAAGATGTGCTTCTTAGAGTTTATGGAGTTGGATTTTCTATTTTTTATTGCTGTTCATGTACTTCTTTTAGTTCTACTGTTTACTGCCTCACACGTGCCTGATTGACATTATGATGCATTCGTGTGGAAATTATGAAAAGTTGTTTTCATGCAGCTGTCCTGTAGTTACAAAGGAACTTCACTGCATGAAAAACAAACATATCATCCAGTGGACAATGCTTAATCTGTTCAGGAGCCCAAACCTATTGCTGTTCAATGACAGAAGAAAGGAGAGGGATTAATTTGAAGATGCTTGTGCATGACATATGGTAATTTCTCCATAGGAAGGAAGTGTCAAATGGTGACCTCTAAATCTTAACATTGACCTCCAGTTGTAGAATGTGTGTGCCATACGGTCTTCTTGGCTTTTCATATGATAATTTAAGCCGAAACATTTTCCTGGTAACATAACTTTTTTGGGGGTGGGGTGGAGTTGTTGCATATATTTTATGAGGATTAGAACATTCACAGTATTTTTATAATATAAAACACTGGTATCATAAAAGTATTTTTTTAAATTTCTAAAAAAGCTATGTTAAGGTTCTTCTCACATAAGTTTAGTATATACTTTATAAGTTGACAGATTTTAAATTGTGTTTTTATAAAACAAGTATGGAAAATTGAAATGATCTCAGTGGATGTTGGTCTGAGATATTAAAAAATAATTTACACATAAGATTAGGAAATAAATTATTAGAAAAACGTAATTGGCAATATGAAGACCAATATAAAGTTTTCAGTATATGATACATTTTAAAAATTGAATTACATTTTGCTAATTCTTAATATGTCATTCTTTCCTTATAGCCTTCCTTGTTTTAGAACTGTTTTCTGTATTAATTGGTACATCGATAAATTAGAATATTAAATATATTTTGGTTTTAAGAAGAATTTGAACTACACGGTGATTGCTATTCAGTAAAATTTATCATTTCTCTGCTGTAGTCCTCAATGATCATGCCCTTTTGATTAAAACATCATTTTTCAGTTCTCCATTTACTATATTTTGCCAACTTTGTTTTTCATTCTTCACTAATACTGAGCTTTTTTTCAGAAGCTGCTGTACCTCAATTCTCTTCTCTTTATTTCTTCTGTTTTCTCTGCAAGTTCCTGCTCCTGTCATTTCCGCTCGGTCTGATGCTGATCACTCTGGCTCTGACTCTGCTTCTACTCCTGCTTTACATACCTGTTTCTTAGTAAATGAAGGTATTCTCTCTCAACTTTCTAACAACTCCCTTTCAATCTGTGCTTTATTCTGATATGACATGTTCTTTTTATCCAATTTATACGTTTATCTGCTTTGTTATATATGAGATCCTAAATTTTCCATTTTAAACTTTATTTGCTAATATCAATGATAAGGGCCAGTTATGAAAATGGAATGCTACTCCTAGCTGGTACAAACTGTTCCTTGTAACCTAGAATGTCATTAAAGAAGTGCAAAGAGGATACTCTTTGATGTGAAGTAGGTATTAAAAGGTGGATTGGTTTTCATAATGATATTTGCCATGTGATCTCTGGTGTTAGAACTAATGAATCTGTTTTATATGTATCATTACTCTGAGATTAGAGGGAGATGTGAGGGGTCCCTTTACATTATCATTTGAAAAGTCTTCAGAATGTTGATTAGCACCAGTGATTATAGAGTGAGAGGAATTCATCTGTTTATTCTCCTTACTATTTCTGTTTTTGGATGAGGCAAAAATCTATTTTTTCAGTTTTTAAGATGTAGTTATATTATCCCTATGGAGTTACACTAGTTGAAAGTATTTTTGGAACTCTGAAAATGTGAATGGAATCCACAAATCTTTTTCCCCCAAGAGCCATTATATGATTATTTATTCTGCCTGGAAGCCTAACGTGAGCTCTGCATTATATCCACTGTCTTCATTGTGGGTTCCGTCTTCACCAGTATGTATAATATAAAAAAGGAAGAAATTTACAGAATCTAAAATGTAATCAGATTGATTCTGACTCTTCACTAAAAAGCAGTATTACCAGTCCATTCAAAAAGAAAGAATGGTACAGTCTCTGTAAAGTACAGAAGCCATGTTTGGAAAGAAAATGTGGGAGCGCGAAAGTATAGCTCATTTTTTGTTTGGTTTCCCTGTCATAGATACTAAGGTTAATATGCTAAGACTGAACATTATAATTAGGGACAAATTTGTTAAGCTACTGTGAAAGATAGGAATTTGTTAGTTAAAAAAAAAAGGCTGTTGACTTTGGCCCATGGTGAGAATCATCATCCTTTTAAAATTCAGCTCATAAATACATTTCAAACTTTTAATAGATGTTAAAGCACTTTAAGAAATTACTAGATTGTAATTTTCATTTATATATATATATATTTGTGTGTGTATAAGTATATATGTATATATATCCTCTATATAAGTATATATATCCTCTATTGAAAATAAATTGAAATCTAAAATGTGTTTGCTCATACCTTAATTATGTAATTATATATTCTCATTTGATGAGAACTTCCTTACTGAAAGAATGAATCTTTAGATAGGTGGCTTGTCTTTCACTCATTCTCTCTTTTCTTCCTTTTGATCTCAGTAATTATTTTGAATTTTATGGTAGGGTTTTTGTTGTTTTAGAAGATGCAGTTTAGATTATTTCAGGACAGTGATTTGTTAAAATTCTGTGATCACAGATAACTCAATCTTGTATATAATAGTAGATAATTGGGATTTTTTTTGCATTCATCCTGATTATTTGTCTTTAAGTGTTGTCACCAGAAGGTAATGGTAATTATTGTGGATTAATAGTGGCTTCATACATGATTTGGAAAGAGTGAGGCATTTATTGTGCTTATATTTTTCTGACACCTTTAAAACGGTTGAAATGATTATTATCTGAATACAGTTACTTTTAGATATTGCAATGGCTTGCAGTTTGTTTTCTTCACATAATCAAATTCCATACTATGGATTAGAATTTTGGAAAAAATAACTTTTATCCCCATAGATTTAAAGTTAATGGTACTGAAGATTTTGTAAATTTTGGATTATCTGGTTTTGATTTTATGAAATATCTGCATTTATTTTTCCTCTCAAAGGTGATATTATGTTACTTAGTTATGATTGCGATTAAATATCTGATTCATTTTGTAAGAAAAGAGGTCAATAAGTACTAATGAAAGGCTTTGTGACAGACAAGGGAAGACCTGTCTGTTGACTGACAAAAGGTGGTCATACACAGATGGCCAGACCTGAAGTGACAGGAGCTTATCTTTGGATATCTGTGTGAATGCCCTTTTAACTGGTTTCAAGTCTATAACTCTAATGCATGTTTATTTCTGTGTTCTCACCCCTGAGTATGTTTTATTTTAGAGGGATTATTTAGAAATATGTTTTCCCTATAGACTTTGTATATACTTCATGTGAAAGTTTATTTAAGACTTTAAAAGAGTTCTTTATGAGTACCAGTTACATGATTTAGAGATGAAATACATCTGATAGAATTATTTGTGTAAAATATCTAATGGAAATCATTTGGTTTTTAATATATTTAAAGAAAAATCTTTGAATTAGGAAATGCCAAAATGTTTAAAGTATTTGTAATATATTACATTTCAACAGGATGGAGTCAGTTAGCTGCTATGCATTGTGTTATGCTGCCAGACCTGCTGGGATTAGACAAATTTAGGCCTCCACTTCTAGAGATGCTGGCTCGGAGATGGCAAGATCGATGCTTGGAGGTAATATTAATGTGATATGGATAAAAAACAAAAACATGAAAGCAATAGGCAAGTGTAAATTTGAAACGAAATAATGTTTATCTAATTTTTTTCACCTGTTTGTATGTCATAGAAAATATGGATTCATGATTTTTTTTCACTTTATATACTGAACAGTAATGTTCCAGCTGCATATTTGCTTACTTTTTAATCTGGTGAGTATCTGACCCAAGGTTTCATATACTTTATGGGGCTATTTCTTTGAGTATTGGTTTCTGTATAGATCGTTCTATATAGATTAACATACATGCATGTTCACATACCTACACCCACTTTCTCCAAAATAACACACTGAGGTATAATCACATCAATCAAATTCTAAGTGAATAGCCATTGTCCAATGGAAGATACTGTGTTATAATAAGAGAAAGAGTTGAGAATTAAAAGAGACCCGGGTTTAAATATCATTTCTGCCAATTATTAACTTTGTGACCCTGGGCAATTTACTTAACCTGTTTGAAGCTCATTTGTAAAGTGGGGATAATAATATATTCCTCATGGGATTGCTGTCAGGATCAAATCAGATAATGCAAGTAAAAGAGTACAGAGCCTGACACATGGTAGGAGCTCAATAAATGGTAGCTATTATTTTGTGTTAATGGACTTATGCTGTATTAGACGTTGCTTGGAGTATAATATCACCAGGGACTTGGAAATGTTTTATAGATAGAGATTTCCTTTATTATGGCATTTGACCTATCTAGCTATAGCAGTTTGTATCATTCAAGATTTTAAATTTGTCAAATATAAATATTTCCCTCATCCTGTTTCCCTTCCCTCAACTCTAAATGGAATTGCAGCATACTAAAATTTTCATGGTTTTGCATTGAATTGTATTTGAATTCACTTCAAAAGTCAGTTATAATTAAAAACAATTTTCATTCAAACTCATATCAGGCATTGCTGAGTTCCTTTTCAATGATAAAACGTTAATAAATTGATAACACCACTTGACAATTAACTCACTTCTTTGACCCCATGCTTGTGGTAATTTGTTAAAATAAAATTCCACAAAAACTGCAAAATAAACATGTGCTGCATTGAAAGACAAACTAAAGTGATGAAACTTTGAAAACTGTTTTCTTTCTATAGAACTAATGCCATTACACAGGAATATATTTTGCCTATTTGTTTTCAAACAAATTGTTTAAATGTGTCTTAGGTATCGTGCAGATTTATACATAATGTTTGTGCAAATACCTATTTAGTATATAAATAAATTCACTGGATAAGGTTTTTTCAGGCTAAAAGAGAAGACAAATATAACAGTTCTAACAGTGACTTCTGACAGTAGCAATTATATGGAAATTTTATTTTTATTTCTTTTTAAGATTTTATTTATTTATTCATGAGAGATAGAGAGGCAGAGGCACAGGCGAGGAAGAAGCAGGCTCCATGGGGGGAGTCTGATGTGGGACTCCATCCTGGGACTCTGGGATCACACCCTGAGCCGAAGGCAGACGCTCAACTGCTGAGCCACCCAGGCGTCCTATATGTGAAAATTTTAAAGTGAAAATTAAGGTGCAAGAATATTAAAAGCTTTGGAAAATAAAGTTTTAAACCTAACACTGCATAAATCTACAAACATAATTTTATGTCTGTTAGTGTTAACATTTTCAGTGCAATCATTCATTAAAATGTCTTTGATTTTGCTCACAGCCGGTTTATTCGGTACTTAATTCATTACTTGGTTTGTAGTGTTTCTCCTGTAAATAAATGTGGCTTGTATATTTTCTAATTTTATTTTATGATGAACTTTCTAGTTTTTAAACACCTCACCAACTGATCTGCTTTCTGTTTTTTTGATTTGGATCCGTTTTCTTCTCAGGTCAGGGAAGCCGCACAGGCCCTGCTTCTAGCTGAATTGAGAAGAATTGAGCAGGCTGGGAGGAAAGAAGCCATCGATGCCTGGGCCCCTTATTTACCACAGTATATGGACCACGTCATATCACGTAAGTGTTCTCTACAGAGCTTTCCATGCTTACATACAAAAGTTTTAAAACTCCCAGATATGCTTGCTACTACCTCTCAACAAAAGTGAGTCACTTGAAGTGAAGATAAAGGATGCCTGGGTGGCTTGCTTGCTTATTTATTTATTTATTATATTATTTTTAATAAATTAATTTTTATTGGTGTTCAATTTACCAACGTACAGAATAACACCCAGTGCTCATCCCGTCAAGTGTCCCCCTCAGTGCCCGTCACCCATTCACCCCCACCGCCCGCCCTCCTCCCCTTCCACACCCCTAGTTCGTTTCCCAGAGTTAGGAGTCTTTATGTTCTGTGTCCCTTTCTGATATTTCCCACACATTTCTTCTCCCTTCCCTTATATTCCCTTTCACTATTATTCATATTCCCCAAATGAATGAGAACATATACTGTTTTTCTTTCTCCGATTGAGTTACTTCACTCAGCATAATACCCTCCAGTTCCATCCACATTGAAGCAAATGGTGGGTATTTGTCGTTTCTAATGGCTGAGTAATATTCCATTGTATACATAAACCACATCTTCTTTATCCATTCATCTTTCGATGGACACCGACACTCCTTCCACAGTTTGGCTACTGTGGACATTGCTGCTAGAAACATCGGGGTGCAGGTGTCCCGGCGTTTCATTGCATCTGAATCTTTGGGGTAAATCCCTAACAGTGCAATTGCTGGGTCATAGGGCAGGTCTATTTTTAACTCTTTGAGGAACCTCCACACAGTTTTCCAGAGTGGCTGCACCAGTTCACATTCCCACCAACAGTGTAAGAGGGTTCCCTTTTCTCTGCATCCTCTCCAACATTTGATGTTTCCTGCCTTGTTAATTTTCCCCATTCTCACTGGTGTGAGGTGGTATCTCATTGTGGTTTTGATTTGTATTTCCCTGATGGCAAGTGATGCAGAGCATTTTCTCATGTGCATGTTGGCTCATTCATTTAAGCGTCTGCCTTTGACTCAGGTCATGATCTCAGGGTTCTGGGATAGAGCCCTTCCTGGGGCTCCCTGCTCAGTGGGGAGTCTGCTTCTCCCTCTCCTGCTGCCCCTGCCCTCACTTGTCTCATGCTCTGTTAAGTAAATAAATAAAATCTTAAAAAAAAAAAAAATTAAAGTGAAAATAAGGGAATCCTTGAATTCTTTGCATTCATTTTCCAAATCTATATGGTTTGGAATTTGGTTTAAAAAAATATATCTAGGGCAGCCCTGGTGGCTCAGCGGTTTAGTGCCGCCTTCAGCCCGGGGGGTGATTCTGGAGACCTGGGATCGAGCCCCATGTCAGGTTCCCTGCATGGAGCCTGCTTCTCCCTCTGCCTGTGTCTCTGCCTCTCTGTCCTTCTGTGTGTCTTGTGAATAAATACATTAATAAATAATCTTAAAATAAAAAATAAAAAATATATCTAAATTCTCTCTGATGGACTAACCCCTTATAAAATTAATCCTCAATAAAAAAATCTTACCATGTTTAACAGTAGCATTTGTCTTTTTGGCATGATTATGCTGGTGGATGCCAACTTGTAGACCGTGATCTGATGATGGGCAAGTGTAGTATAAAGCAGATAATTTCCATGTTGAAGTTGGAATTCTGGATCCTTAAGTGGTAAATATTGGGTAGAGTTAGAACAGTGTACTATTGGAAAAGAAAATTATCAAGGTTTTGATGGACAGATCTTTCAAAAGAATATAATTTGAATGGAGTGGGAAAGGCTTGAGAAAATTTGTTGAAGTGCTTGAGGTTTTTTTTGCAGAATCAAACCTTAGTGATCCTGCTGCTAGGTTAGATGGTCATTAAAGAAAAGTTGTATTGTAGTTGTATTGTAGTTTTTTCTTTTTAGAAAAATATACTTCATATCCAATTCATTTGATTATTCTTCTAACAAAGAATTCAGAATTAAAGTTTTAAACTGTTTTATTGAGTATATGGTAAAATCAGTTTTACTTTTTAAGTTAAATTCTCAATGAAACTTAAAACTTTTTACTATTGAAAATTTGGTCTAGATTTTAGATGGATTCATTTTATTTTTTTTAAAGATTTATTTATTTATTTATTTATTCATTCATTCATTTGTTTGTTTATTTATTTTTTTATTCAGAGAGGGGGGGGGCAGAGACACAGGCAGAGGAAGAAGCAGGCTCCATGCAGGGAGCCAGACATGGGACTCGATCCCAGGTCTCCAGGATCACACCCCAGGCTGCAGGCGGCGCAAAACCGCTGCGCCACCGGGCTGCCCTAGATGGATTCGTTTTAAATGATTTTTGCCAATAGCAAATTCTTGGTAAGAAGATACTATACATGTCAAGACAATACATGATTATACAATAAGGATATGAAAACAAGATTCAGAACGGACTATAATTGTTATACCTGGTATCAGTCTCCCAAGTGTTTGTCAGTGGTGACTCTAGTGGTTGTTTTTAGGTGTATATGACCTTGGACACTCAATGTTTCTCAGCTTCACTTTATCACAGATGAAATAAATACGGTAGACTGTAGGGTTATTCTGACTTTGGAATAAGGTAATTTTTGGTAATCACATGGAACAATGCCTAAGCTGTGGTAAGCACTTTATATTAAATACATTCATAATCTGTAAAAATGCAAATATGGGTTTTACATATAACCATAGCATCACACATTAACAACTCTAATTGAAATTCTTTAGTCTGTGTAGGTTACAGAATTTCCTGAGATAATACTGATTTTTATTTGCTTATTGGGAGTTTTTCCATTTTAATAAAAGGAATTTTAAAAACCAGAGTCTTTAAACATATGGACTCTGAAAGTTATTAGGCTTAAAGTTCTTAAATGTACATAGGTTTTAATATCTTCTACAATGTAAAAAAAATGCTTGAAGGCATAAGACTAGGATGAAGAAAGCTTTGTTTTTGAGTATTTGAAGAACCTTGTACAGTGCTATTTGTTTAGTCACTTGTGGCTCTTAGCTTCATAATATTCTGAAAAACAGAATTAGCTCATCAGTTCATCATAAACTTATTGAATAAAGGATACCTCAATTTAAGGACAAACTATGAGTAAAATACTGTAGACTAGATTGAAGGTGAAACAATAGCAAATCATTAGAGATCCTTTTGAAAGGACAACGCTGCTATGAAAGCATAAGAAACTGTTTCAGGACACTGTTATTTAAAATGGACCACAGTGGGAAAGTGGACTGAAGTAGAATAAGTAGCTGGGAAGTTACTACAGAGGGGATGTAGGACCCAGGCCTAAATGTAGATAGAGTGGAATGAAAGGTATTTCTCAGGCTTGATTATAGATTACATGTAAAAGCTTTAGGAAAACACCAAAGATGTGTACAGCATTGTATTCCTGACAGTTTGGAAGGAAAGGAATCATCAGCAATGGTGGTGAATGCCGTTTTATTTGATTTCTTCCTGGAAAGAAGGGAATAAGTTAGCTACAAGTTAAAGGTGTAATGTGGTCTCAGATTACTCCCTGAAGCAATGATGAAAATGTATATGTTGCTAGATGAGAGGTCTATTAGAGGGCCTAGAGAGGATACAGTATAAGTAAAATAATGACAATACCTACCATTAATTGAACACTCTCTCTGTCAGGCTTTTGCTAAGTGCCTGGTCTGTGTTATTTCATTAAGCCACTGCAATAAGCCTGTAAAGTAGGCACTAGTGTCACTACCCTCTCCCCTTTTCCCCCCAGATGAGTTAGTTGAGGCCAAGAGAGATTAAAGAACTTTCTTAAGGTCCCCTCAATTACTAAGTGACTGTCAGACTACAACACTTATTTTCTTAACCACCATTTATTCCGTCTTGCTTCCTCCAGCATACTTAGATCTTAAAATGGTGTTGGGGGTAGAGGAATGAGTAGATATTTAGCTAATCCTGTTTTCACACAATGTCATTTCTTTGCCGTATTAAATTTAACAACAACACGTTGGAGCAGAAATGTGTAACTGTAAGAAAATTACTCTTGTAAGAAAATGGTTCTTGTCATTGGTTTTTTTTTTTTAATATTTTATTTATTTATTCATGAGAGACAGAGAGAGGGGCAGAGACATACGCGCAGAGAGAAGCAGGCTCCATTCAGGGAGCCCGATGTGGGACTCAATCCTGGGACTCCAAGATCCCGCCCTGGGGCGAAGGCAGAGGCTCAACCTCTGAGCCACCCAGGCATCCCCTCTTGTCATTATTTAAATAAACATGAACTAGGTTGTTCTTGGGACAGATTTAAACCTTTCTATTTGTATAACATAATGTCCCTGGCATTTAGTTATAGTATCTTGGAGTACCTTATAAATTAACTGGATGTTGGCTTACTTAAAATTTTAATCTTATCATTTCCTGTTACTGTATTTTAGTGAAAGAATAAACATCCATCTACACATAACTAAAAGAGCTTACACTAAGAACTCTTTCTATAGAATGTTAATCTATCCTGGAACTTTTACATTGCCTGAGTAAAATTAGTTTTAGTTTGCTTTACTGAGAGCTTTCCACTTTAATAAAAGAATGTCAAACTGAAGGAGTAAGGATTCTGAATGTGTGAAAGGAGAAGAAAGCATACAACAAATAAGAAATGACCACATAGGGCTATTGAACAGATTTGCTGTCCAAAGGGATCAAAAGGTTATGGAGCCAGCTGGTGGACAGCCCACACCTGCCATAACGTGCTTGTAGTGGAATCGCTTCTACCATGGTCATTAAATGTTTGAGGAGATGATTATCGTAGCAAGTTAACAGCATAAAACATTCTCTTAGGAACTTAAAACCCATTTTCAGCATAGGAATCTTCTTAGTAAATTAGGTAAAATATTAAGCACTATGTTAAATACACCATTCATCAGATATTTTCTAACAATTTAATCTGCCTAAGCATTTAAACATGTGCAGTAATTGCCTAAGCAATATTGACAGCTCCTAAGTTACGACTGAGCTTGATCTAAGAGTCCCTTTGTTAGATATTTGTCTGAGACTCAGAAAATGCTTTTGCT